AACAGAGCAGGACAGAGCGGGATCTATCTTCAAAATGGTCGCTGCCTTCGAAGACTTTTCCCTCAAGTACGGCCATTACCACCTCAATGAATCAATGCCTCAATTAACCATTGTGCAGAGCAAGCTCAGTGAGTAGAAATTTAACTTTCAGTATCCAGATCTGTGAGAAATAAATGACAAAATACCAATTTATTATCTTTGGCAGTTTTTCGCCATGTTCGTTTACGGGAGAATTCAAACCTCAATAGATAAAAAAATTATGGGATTAACGTCCATTGACAAGAGCCAGAAATATAACGTCTGCGCACAATATCTGTTACGAGAAGCGAACAGCTTTTCCGGGGGCGAAGCTGCGAGCTTCGAGGAACAGATAAAGCCAAATAAGGGCTTTTGTGTTCAAAATCCTTCAAATATTTTTCTATTTGTAAGTTGTGGAATATCACTGGGATATTCTCCAGTTTTTGTTGTGGAATATTCAGTCACGTGACCAATCGACCAATCGCATGCGATGGAAAAATTTTCCCTCGCATGCGATTGGTCGATTGCATGCGATTGGCCTAATATTTGACGGATTATAATTACTTTTAATCAGTTTTATTGTGAATAGTAATCGCCTCACAACATATCTTGACAGTTCTGCATATTCAGCGATTTTTCCACCGAGATGCTAGAGATTTCATTCTCAACGGAACGGAAAAACATAACTTCGTCAACATCTCGTCTAGGAATTTCCTCAACAACGGTAAGCAAAACACGTTTATTCAAGATACATTGTATACAAAGTAGTAAAGGGAATAGCAGAGCTCAACAATCGATTTGTTGTTGTTGTTGTTCAAATTTTACATTTGATTTGCTAAAACTTGTCATTAAAATCATTAAAATCATGAAAACATATGAAGTATAAAGCCCCTTCAAAGTACTGTGTGACTTATCAGTAGCCCGGTAATGTCTCCAGCTGACAAGAAGCGACCAGGAAACTTTCTGTTCTACTAAGATGGTATACTTCTCAATTGCAGGTAACCACCTTCCCTGCATAAAGTTGTCTTGATAATTTGCTGATACCTTTTCATAGACAAACTGTTCGCTGTTCAAACAAGGTCCTCATCGAAAAAACAAAAAAAAGAAAAACTAGTAACTTGAACATTTATTTCAAGAAGTATGACTTTTCTTTTGTTGCACAGGCTTGTTATAAAAACGGTTTCACCAATATTATTGTTATTTCAACCTATAGATTCGTTGCTGGTTGGTGTCCTGTAAAAGGATCTTCATGAGCTACTTCAATCGATTCCATCCAATAATGATGCTCCTGAAAACAAGTAATTAGCGAAGAAGTTCATTAGTCTAAAAACATACTCATCGTCTTATACTGTTTTGTTGTTGTTGCTGCTGTTTGTGCATCCGATGGAGATGGTCAAAAGGCTATTTTCTCTTTAACAGCAACTTAGAGTACGATCAGTAACAAGCTTTTTGTATTTGTGTTCTATTAAGGAGACTTGACACCATGATAATGGCAGCCACGATGGATCCAAAACCGGAAAAGCTGCAGCAGAATATCACCCTAAAGTTCAGGAATCTAAAGGTTGTAATAAAGAAACAAATCGTAAAGAAAGGAAGCAAAGCTTCCAGTTAAAATCAGCTATAATTACATTCCTGTTCATCCGTGCTTGGATGTAATTTGTTTTCGAAAAGTAGGATATTTGTTTAAAAAAGTTTACCGGATTTATTTCAGGTTGCTGAAGGCAAGAGATATTGCATGTTTTGGAGTGACAACAGCGAAAAAAAGTAAGTATCAAGCTACATTCATTATTTTACCTACTACAAGTTACATTTACATTACTTTGCTTTAAAGGCAAAACCTGAATGTCGCTTCCGCTATTACACTCCATAAAAAAAATTCCTCACGAACTAAAAGAGTGCCTGCACGAGAGTCTTATAGTCGTTGTTGCTGTTGTTCAGTGTTGCGGTTGGTACTGTCTTCGTCGTCGTTATTGTTGTTGTTGTCGTTTTTATCGTTGTTTTTGTTGTTATTCTTCTTGATATCGATGTTCATGGTAGTGGTACTGTTACAATGTT